GTTAGGTTCGGGTGGTGGCGATGCCAGTAGTGTATTATCTGCCGGTGGTCGTACTCAAAAGTCATCAGGTTCCAGCAAGTTAAGTCACGGAGCGACTGCAAGAGATTCTGGTGGGTCATCTGGACACTGTACACCTCGCAGTGAACCTCCACCAGTAATACAAGTATAGTCGATACTTTACCGACAGTGTAACATTAAATGAAAACCGCTATTCATTGAATGAAATATTTTACTTCAGGATTGCTGGAGTCATATACGTCGTGACAGCGGTGCATCTACTCAACACTCGACGGAAAAAGATCGTTCAAGAAGAGGTAGTTACGCTAACGGTACTCCAACATCTGTTGTAAGACGCTATAGTCCTGAATCTGAGAGCAGCAACAGTCAAACGGATTATAGTCCAACATGCAATTCAAGGTATATGTTTCAATTTGATAAAATTTGTGCAATACATTCAAAAAAGGTTAAAAATATATCAAAAAATTTTCATTCTTCAAATAAATATTCAGAATAAGTTCTTACAATCTTACAAATATCTTTTTATGTTTTATAATCTTAATATGATTTTATAAATAATTGCCATATCTTAGTTTGTACTATAAATTTGACTATTGAATGAAACTTTTTTGTAAAAAAATTATTTCTTTTTTTTTTTTTATCAATAATTATAAGCAATAAAAAAGAAATTGCATTTTTCTTGCTTTAGATTCTCCGATGGCTGGAAAGAAGGTCGTGGCCGACCAATTCTGAGATCAAAATCGGATATTAGTGATCGTTATTGGCGTCAAGATAATGGTCGATCCAATAAAGTACCTGCACGACCTCCTCGGTCAATTACTCAACTCGAAAATTTCTTCGATTGTTTAGGTCTTGATTCGGACAATTATCAACGTATCACGAAACCAGATTCAAAGTCGTCATCCCCCGTATTTTTTGATAGCGTTAGCTCGGTCGACTCGGCATTAGGTCTTTACTCTTGGGCTGGAAACAACCAAACGAATCAAAGTAGTCAATGGCAGAATAATGATTGCAGCGTCGGTATGGGTAACGACGACAGTAACCAGAGAGTCAATGATCCTCCGAGTATTGTAGAACGCAATGCTCGAATAATTAAATGGCTTTGTCAGTGTCGAAAAGTGCAGTTTGGATTTAGTTAAGCAACGAGTTTAAGAAGAGGACAATCGATTCTCCATTCTCAGTAACATGCATTCAAGTCAACGAAAGTAGAGTTTTTCATCTTGCCAACAATTAATCTTCAAAATATATCGCAAAAACTTTTGCTTTAATTTTGTAAGGAAATTGCACGAATATAAGCAAATACCTTTTTCCTGCTTTTTTTTTAGTTACTAATGCTACAACGAGTAGCATGTTATAATTTATCTTCCTTTTTTTATTTTAAGTTTACAAGCGTATGTGCCATCTACTTATGTAATTTGTTGTGCATTTGTATTGCATTCTTAAATCATTATTGAAATTCTTTGGCATAACATTCTTTTCTTTTTCATATATTTTTTTGTCGAAATTTGTAAATATATTGTAAATTATAGAAGTTGTCAATTATTATATATGTGTAAACACATGTAACTTTTTTGCTTGTTTAAATAGTTTTGTTTTTAGCGAATGAATGAATTTATTGTCGTATATTAGTTTTATTAAATTTACAACGAGTTTATGATTACAAATTAACTATTTTTAGTGTTTTTTTCTATAATATTATGATTTATTGATTGAGGGAGTTATGAAGTTATACAAAAATATAAAGTTTATGCACTGTTTTATCTTAAAATTAAGTCGTACATTAGTTATAAAGTTTGATTGTTATATACGTTTTTTAATGAAAATATTCATAAATAATTGGCATTTATGTTAGTTTTTTATATTAGAGAAAAGTTACTTGATTTTTTATCTTTCTTTTTCATATTGAATGCTAACTGACGATATGGTTCGATTTTTCTGATTAAATAGGAATTGAACTGTTTTTTGATTTTTGACTGTTATGTCAAAAAATCAAATTTTTATCTTACAATGCAGAAAATATTTACTGTTATTTCCAATAGAATTATTACTATAATAATATCAATTCAATCTCATTAATGTTTTTGCTGGTTCGAATTCATTGTATAAATATATTGAAATGCATTGTAAAAGTAAGTATTGGTATAAAATTAAACTATATGTAATTTATAAAATTTTTGACGATTTTTGTCTATAAAATTATTCGCCAAGGGAATTTGTAAGGAATTTCATAAAATTTTTTATATTAATGTTTTTAAAATCATAATTAATCTTGTAAATTTTGTTAAATGAAATTATAGTCGTATCAAAAAATTATTTTGAATTGAATATATATAAAAATATTATAATTTTCAAAGTTATTTTTTAATTACAAAATATGTTTAATATATAATATCTTGTTCATGTAATGTAATTAGTTTGATTTTAACGAATTTTAAAAATCAAACGTAATCATTAAATATGAAACGTATCATTGTATATTCGGTATATTATTTATTATAAATAACTACTTTGTGCCTAAAAAATTTGAAAAATCTTATTTTAATAAAAAAACTTATTCAAATTGTTTAATATATCTACATATATGTTCAATATTTTAGTAAGAAATGTTTTTATTAAAATCTATGTATTTTATAAAATCTAATGTTCGTCATTTAAGTCGTTTAAAAGAACAAAAAAATTCGTATCTTATATTTTAAAGAATTTAAATTAAATGCACTCCCTAAAATAATACGACATAATTATTAAAATCTATAATTAATAAAAAAAATATATCATTCGTTCATTACTTAAAATATTCTTGATATATTTCACTGTGCAATAATACAGATATTAAATGTTCTTATTTTAGATGATATTTACTAGATCACTATTTGAAATATTTTAATCATTGTGTGGCAATCAATTAAAGATATACTAATTATGACTTTGAATGTTTAGAATGGAAGAAAATTGTTATTAATTATGTGATTCGAGTATTTTAACATAAAGAAGGAAAGAAAAAGAATTTGTGTAATATAATATAATAAGAAGTTACTCAACTACTCTCATTTCAAGTGATATAGATGTTTTAGATAAGTAGTGAGTTTGCATAGATTAAGAGAAACATAGTAGTATATTGCATTTAAACAGAAAAAAAAAGTTGATATTACTACCTGTGTAGTAAAACCTTGCATTTTTCAAGCAAATGTAAAGTATAGCTTGTATTGAATCTTAGATGTTGTGTAGTTATATAATCAGTATTTACTATAATTATTTACTTACAGTTTTTGAGAAAAATATTATAAAGAATGTAATATCAAAATTACGAAGTCTGTTTTAACAGTCTTGCGTAACGTGTTATTGCACAAAAAATTGAATATGTATGCTTAAAAAAAGCATTTTGCTTATAACTTTTTGAGCTAAAGCACTATTTAATGTATGTATATTAATAATGTTTGGTGATATTTAATTACCTGAAAATTTTTATTCCCAAAATTAAAATTCTTGCCTTGTAATAAAAAAAAAAAAAGAATTCATATATATTTTTGTTAGTTGTAATGATATGTATCTTGGTTAATAATCTTATTATAAAATGTTTGAAAATAAAATTTTTAAATCTAGTTGCAACTTATAGAATGTAGAGAATATAGTGTTAAATATCCTCAATATGGTTTTCAAAAAGTTTTAAGCAAACTAAATAAATTAATAGTAAATATTACTTCTTGAGAGTACAAACACAAAGTGTGTTCTATTTCTACTCTACTAAGATCTAAGTCTAGCAATTTATAGGAAAAATGTTTAATAAAATTAAAATTTATTTGCATTGTTTAGATGTTTAAAAAGTTTAAAAAATTTATTACATATTTATGTGGTAGAAATATACACACACTCATACAGATACGCATTCCACTTCTTTACATGTGTATATGAATCTCAAGAAGTAAAATGATATCATAAGTTTTTATTATTTTCGATACAATTATGTTTTCTGTATTGATATTAATTTGTTAATATAATCGAAGGAATTTGTATAACATTATATTGCAATTCGTTGTAATAGATTATGTGATTCATGTATTTGTATAGTAGAATTTATCGCGTTATTTTTGTTTCTTTATTATCGAGGCTTAGTTCTTTAATATTAAGTAAATTTGTTGAAAGACCTATTTTATAATTTTAAATCCAAATGTATACTTAAAATGTGAAACTTACGTATGTATATGTGCATAATTTGTGATCCATAATATTTAACATTGTTAAAGTCATACATTTTTAACTGCTTTTTTTATAATCTAGTCATGTAGATCAAAATGTGTTAAATTTCAAGATAATATTATTAAATTCCTTCTATGTATCGCTGGTAATTTTATTTTATAACCCAATATTTATATAAAACATTTACATTTTTTTTAAATTTTCATATATAATTTTTTTTAATATAGATTTTTCTTTTAAAATTTAAAAATTAAATTAAATTAAAACCTTTTTTTTTTTCTTTAGATTATGTATATTTTATAATTAAATTGTAAAATAAAATTACGTAATTTTATATAATTTCAAAATATGCATATATTTAAACATATATATAAAATTCTATTTTATACATTTTTATTTATTTATTCAATTTATTTTAAATTTAATTCGATTGAAATAAATTTAATTTTAATTCAGACGTTTAAATGTTACTACTTTTTTACTAAATGTTTTCATAAAAATATTTATAATCAGTTTTATCATCTAGAATATAAAAATGAAATGACTAATTAATAATACAAATCAATTCGCGTTTAGAAAAAATATTAAAAGTTATACAATATAATATACTAATAATTTAATAATAACTTTTTTAATCTTTTAAAAATTCGATGGATTCAAATATATTATAGATGGCAGTTCTGTTCACTTCAAATGTCACGTCGTCCATAATATTCAACGAGCGCATGCGCAACAGCGAGCTATGCCTTTGCAGTCTGTGCTCGTCAGTCAGTCTTACGGACGCGCGATTCATGTTTGACGCGCAATTTCGAATGTGTGGATCGACTGAAATTATCGATGATTGTATGTTTAATGGTGATACTTGACGAAAAAATTCTAACTTATATGCGGTCAACTAGTGTCTCGTGGTGTGACGCTTTCTGGTAAGATTATAGTGGCAGGTTTCGCTATGTCGCAAGTGCTTTGGTCGCAAGAGGCGCAGTGACGACTCGCCCGTGAGCCTGCCGACATCCTCGACGGCCCTGCGATGGAGTCGATCAGAAAATGGTTCTATAGGCCTAAGGTAATTTCTTTTTGTTCTTCTATATCATTATTTTTAATCTCATCTTCCTTCTTATTTTTTAAGTTTGATGCGTTTCTTTGTTTCTTTTTCGTCTCTATATATTTCTTATCGTACTGGTTAGTTGATCGAACGCGTGCGCTCGTTCTTTTTTCTTCGTTCCTTGTCCCTGTCTCTGTGTGTTGGACCTGCGCGCTGTTGCCACCTGTTTCGTGAAAATTCGCACGATATCCCGAAGTGCTTCGGGCGACGTGTTACATCTGCGTGATATACCTGTAAGTACATATTTCATTGATACGCACACGAGTGCTAATCGTCCTTGTTTACAATTCGACGTTTCCTTTCGATGCCAATGTATATATTGAAATATATTTTTTGATTGAAATTCCATGTAATGTTCATAGAACATGGTCTAATCAGCTGATGTAATAGAATCTGCAGGTTTTTAATCTTCTAATATAGGATGACCTCGAGGTTAATTCCGGTTCAAAGATACATTCTTTTATTCGATTAAAAAATGTATAAAAGGAAGATCGATAAATTAATTTATTTGATCAATAATAATTTTTTATAAATAAAAATTAAACATATTTTTTTGTATTTTTTTCTTTTTTTTAAATATTTACTACTATTATATAGATATTCTATGTTTGTCTCATATTTCAGAGTTTTCTTATTTACCCAGATACTTTCTCTTTCGTGTGTTGTCGATAACCTACATCTAAAATCACATGACTCTAGCATCTGTCGCGCTTAACCTCAATTTAAATTATTAGATCATGATTAATGAGAGATTTTTTGAAAATTTTATTTTACATTTTGTTGTATAAATTGTAATTTAATATCTCTAATTTAATATCTATGCTCATTAATTAATGCATCGCACGTCTCTATCATGTAGAAATATTCGTCGGTATTGTCCATTCTTTTCACGTACCAGGAAAAGATTCTATCACTGTCGGCTTTATTTGTCGCCTGCTTTCGAAGGCGTACTGTCGTTGCTCACGTGAAAATGCGATAGTAAAACTGAAGAATGTGTTTCATCTTTTTCAATACTTTCTCATTGTTTCGATCATTATTTTATACGTTGAGAAATGATGCAGTACGATAAAATGAATTGTTTTATTCTTCTTATCGAACCGATTCTCCGTGATTAGTATCTAATAACATACATGTCTTGTGTGCATACGTAGTTCGTAGATTGACATATATGTATCACGTGACCACATTCAATGAGCTGTCATCAAGCGAGCGACTTATTTCGTATTAATTTATAATTAATTTTTCTCTGAATTCTATTTTTTTGAATTTTTAATTTGATTTAATTTTGTATGCAATCGTGATTTAATTTCATTGCAATCATGATATTAGATTGATTTTACTTTTATGTAAGATAGAAATTTTTAAAAATTATAATTTAAAGTATTATCAGTATTTAGTAAATTATTTCATTGAAACTCGATTTGGATTTTAGATAAATTTTTATTCTTATAAATAGTATATTTATAGTACATATTATTATTTACTTCTTAAATTCTATCATATATGTAAGTATTAAGATATTTAATTACCTAGTGATTAATTACCGTATTTGTATATTATACATTGAATTAAAAAATATATTTTTGTTTGCATAATATTATTTATCAGTATTATTAGAATTTTTTAATATTTATTGTTATAAATGATGACTTGATGCAATTGAATTTTTTATTTGATTATTAGTCAGAAATTTATTTATTTTTATCATTTTTTTTTTTTTAAATTTTTTTTTTTGAAACTTTTATCCAAATATATATCTAGTTTTGAAAAATGATTTTCGTTTAAAAATTTTTTTAAGAATTATTATTACAAAAAAAGTATATATATATATATATACTAAAAAAGTATATATATATATTACAGAAAGCATGTATATATTATTAAAATATATATTTTGTATATTGGAAAATTTTTTCTATCTAAAATTTCTTCATTTATTAGTTCGAATCGCCATAAGTTAATATGCGAATTACATAGTTGACGATTTTAATCCCACGTAGATTGAATCGTACCGGTTTCTCGTGGATTAGCGTGTAAGTATATACTCTCAGTTACAACCTCGTCGACCACGAACGAAAGGTGCGCAACACACTTTTCAAGTTTATGCCCCGGTGGGAAAGTAAAAGATTTCAGTTAGTTTACGGTGCCTTGACCATGTTTGGATCAGGTTCAACGCGTTCTCGAAACGTATTGGGGGAAAAAATCATTGTACGATTTTTCGATTCGAAAATAGGCACGATGGATAATTTTTTACTTTTTCATTTCATTTTTCTTCTTCGTTGTTTGTTTCTCCTCTTTCTTCTGATTTTTTTTCTCTTATTTTTTTACGCCTCGAATCAGTCGAGGTAAATGTTTTCTCGTTCGTCCGTCGACTCGAGTTAAACTCGATTAACGTTCCGAGTTATTGCTCTCCGAGTGAAAGAGACTTGGTAGATCGATGTTGCTCGCTCGCGAGTCACAACTGTATCAGCTTTAAGTCCATAGATATTAACTTTCCTTCGGGCTTGTATGTTCGGCCAAGTCGTTCCTGTCTCCTTGGCCACTATAGAGAGAAAAGCTAGCCTCAATTTGATTATTCGTTTATTTTGCCTAAAGGAAAAGAATGCTTTCTTATTATGTATTATATTTCTATATTCTTTCGATATTACTTTTATTTATTTCGATTTTGTTTTACATATTACTTATTTACATATTACTTATTTTATTATTTTTAATAAATTATTCGATAATTGTTAAAATTATTTTATATTGGTTAATAAAAAAATTATAATTATTTTTCTATTAATTTTATATGTATTGAGTTTTTTATTTCAAAGTTATTGATCAAAATTTTTTAAAAAAATTGCTTATAATTTGTGAAAAATTAATAATTATATAAATAAAATAAGAAAATTCTTTTGTCTATTTTTGACGAATCATAAATATCAATTTTGATCGATCAGTTGCAAGATTCAGGTAGGGGACGGATAAAAATAGAAATTTTTAGGAGACCTACATACATACTACTTACATTTCTTTACATTGAAAAGTTGAAACCCGCATCGAAGTGAAAGGAAATCAAACAGAATATCTGTTGTAAAAGTAACAAAGAAAACCATTCATATCTCGATAAGAAAAAGTTTAAATATATATACTTATTAAAGTATTTCTTTTTATTTTAATGGATATTACCTGTATCCTCCAAAAGAGTTTCTGATTTTCATTTTTAAAGCGATGTTTTAGATAGTATTTAAAGATGTCTTTCATTTTTTTTATTATAAATAGATATAATCTTTTAGATTAATAAATGAATAAACAAATAATAATAATTGATAAGAATAATAATTTTTTTCTTATAAAAAATAAAGAATATTCTTGATAATTAGATTTTTAAGCAATTGGATTGGATTTTAATTGGATTTTTATGCAAATTAATATATTTTTTATTATATTATATTTATATATATTATATTTTATAAACAACACAAATGAATATATTACATTTTTTTTTTCTGATATTAATTTTATTTGTATGATAGTGGAATATAAATAAATTTAATCATAATATAAAAGAAATTTTTGATATAATATTGAAGTCTGAAAAAATTTAAAAATATTTTATTGTAGAAAATAATATATTAAAATAATATATTATATAATATCTTATAAAAAGATTTCTTTTTCAGCTCAATTTTTTTTAGATAAAGAAATAAAGCAATTTATTAAAAAATAATGAAAAAACTTTTATATAATATTATAATTTTATATAGATAAATCTAAGATATATATATTCTATCTATAGATAAGTTGAAATTGATATTTTGTAAATATTTAATACATAATTTGTATATAATTTGTATATAATACATATATTTTCAATAATACGACATATTTTTTTTTTTTTACATATTAATTAAATATCTATTTTAACTATATAAAAATTTATAGTTTATTGATAATACTAATAATAATAATCAGTTTTTATCGTAGAAATTTGTATATTATCATAAAAATTATTTATAAAATTTCTATTAAACAATTATGAAGAAAATTAAAAAAAGAATTTAATGAAAGATGAGACAGATTAAATATTTTCGCAAATAGAATGATCATTTCTTCACAAATAATATTTAACTCTGTATTCATTCTCTCTATTGTATAAATGAGATATTGAGAATTGATTTTGATTTATAAGTATATAAATTGAATCTTGATCCCATCAACATCAGATATTCTAATTGGAACAACCATGATATCGCGCTATGACAATTAAATGAAAGTGTCTCGTTGAACACGATTTAATGTTAAATGCATATTATTTTGATTATAATCAAAAAATTATGCATTGACACAATGTACGATTCTCGAATTTCCTTTTTTGGAGAAATACAATATTTTTTTTTAATCTAGAAATCATTCTCAAATATGGATGAAATATCTCGTTATTACGTCGCGTTTAAGAAATGTATATTTAAAATGTGAAATTTATATACGTACAGAGAGAATATATTTATTTAATATATTCGTATAATGTATATAAATGTTAATTTATTCAAAGTATAAATGAGAATATATAGTAGAAATTTAAAAAATAATGAAAAATAGCAAGAGGTTAAGAAATGTTATGACATTTTAATGAATATTAATTTTTTTTTTTTTTTAAGAAACGAAATATTTTGTTTATAGATAAATATATCTATATGCGAAAGAAATGATTTAACGAAAAGAAAATTATGATGCGTGATCGAAATTGTAAATAATAATAAAAAAACAAGAAACAATGAGCAAAACTTTTTAATGATATTTGATATGATAATGATAAAAATATCATTAATATGCAAATTTTATATATATAATAGATAAATAATATAATGTTTAAATATAGATAAATTTTTGTAGTTGATATAAATAAATGTGTAATAAATTAGCATAATTATGTATATAACGGAATCATGGTTTCCTGAATACCAGCTAAAAATTAT